TTTGTTCCAAATGGTTCCTTCCTGAAAGCCCCATAATTCCATGGCTTCACCCATAGGACCACCACCATCCCTGTTCTATCAGCACACCAAAGGCTTTCCTTCCTTGCTCAATTTAGGATTAGCTTTTCTTAAAATACAAGCTGCTGATTGAGTTCGAAATCCAAGCCATGGGTAACATAAGACCAACAAGGAGAGGAACATCAAGCCCTAGAAGGCCTTGGGCTTCTGCTTCTTCGTAACCCACTCCATCACCTAGCCAGAGTGGCCACCCTTCTTGCTCAACAGGACAAAGATCAACATGCCGGACATGCCTCAGTCTCCTTGCCCTCCCCATTCGGGGTTGCCCCCAGCTCTGCCCTCCGAGCCATGGAGCCACCTTCTTTCTCCCTTTGGGGTCAGGAGAGGACAACAGCTTTCCGCGGGAAGAGAGGGAGGGAGGGAGGGGAGGAGGCAAAGCTCGGAGAGGGAGGGGGAGGAGGGAGCGTCCGTGGTAACGTCACAATGTCATATGCAAATCGAGCCTGCGTCAGCCCAGGCTTCCAACCCCGGGCAGCCAATAGGAAACGGAAGCCGACCCCTTTCATCTTGGGGATGAAATAATAAAAAGAGAGAGGCCAACAACATAAGAATCAGGCGAGGTGGGCTTTTCCTTGGAGGTCTAGCAACAAGGGTCTTCGTCCAAAGATCACCCAACCTGCTCTTTGGGGTGCATTCTACATACTAGAATGAATACACTACCTCTGAGGATGCTTGCCATAGATGCAGGCGAAACGTCAGGAGAAATGCCTCTAGAACATGGCCATATAGCCCGGAAAACCTACAACAACCCAGTGATTCCGGCCATGAAAGCCTTCGACAATACATCGAATACGGTTTGACACCGCTTGAACAGCCAAGGAATCCTAGGATTGGTAGTTTGGAGAGGCTCTTTGGGAAAGAAAGATGAAGACCTTGTATAATCACACACCTTTCCATACTATGGAGCCATGGCATCCAAGTGGCCACAAACTACAGTGTGTAGATCAGGCATGGGCCTGATCTACACATCCCATTGTAATACTTTTATTATTATTATTATTATTATTATTATTATTATTATTCTGACACAAAGACACAGTATGCCACAGGAAAAGAGATATTTATGCTGGATTCTTATCACAAAATCACAAGTCGAACACTTCCCAAGCATCTAGGACTGTGATATTATTATTATTATTATTATTATTATTATTATTATTATTATTAGGCCTTCCCTCCAGCTCCAGGTGTTTTGGACTCCAGCTCCCACCATTTGTAACAGCTTCAGCCCCCTTCATTTATTATTATTATTATTATTATTATTATTATTATTAGGCCTTCCCTCCAGCTCCAGGTGTTTTGGACTCCAATTCCCACCATTTCTAACAGCCTCAGTCCCATTTATTTATTTATTTATTATTCCAATATTATTATTATTATTGGACTCAGGCAGTTGGAAGGGAACACCAAAGACCATCTAGTCCACCCCCTTCTTTCTGCCAGGAAGGTAGATGGAATTACTATCCTATTATTATACATTGTTATTACTATTCGAAACACAAGATTAGTACACAGCAGACAAGATCACTCTGCTGGCTGTTGTATTGGATCACACATCAGACACTTCCCAAGTGTCTAGGACTGTGTGATGTATTGGCGAATGATGCATGCAGATCCCAGTAAGGTGGTCTTCTGCAGCTGACAGATGGTAATTTTGTCAGCACCGATTGTGTTTAAGTGCAGGCCAAGGTCTTTAGGCACTGCACCCAGTGTGCCGATCACCACTGGGACCACCTCGAGTGTCTTGTGCCATTATTATTATTATTATTATTAGAAATAATTTATTATTTCAAATTTGTAATAAATAATAATAATAATAATTATTATTATTATTATTATTATTAGGCCTCCAGGTGTTTTGAACTCCAACTCCCACCATTTCTAACAGCCTTGGCCCCCTTCATTTTTTATTATTATTATTATTATTATTATTATTATTATATTCCATTATTGTTGTTATTATTATTACACTCAGAAAGTTGGAAGGGAACCCCAAAGGCCATCTAGTCCACCCCCTTCTTTCTGCCAGGAAGGTAGATAGAACTACTATCCTATTATTATACATAATTATTATACATTATTATTATTATTATTATTATTATTATTATTATTTGAAACACAACAAGATTAGTACACAGCAAATAAGGTCACTCTGCTGGTTCTTGTATTTGGTCACATGTCGGACACTTCCCAAGTGTCTAGGACTGTGTGATGTATTGGCGAATGATGCATGCAGATCCCAGTAAGGTGTCATCCGCAGCTGGCAGATGGTAATTTTGTCAGCACCAATTGTGTTTAAGTGCAGGCCAAGGTCTTTAGGCACTGCACCCAGTGTGCCGATCACCACTGGGACCACCTTGAGAGGCTTGTGCCAGAGTCTATTATTATAAGACTCAGCCTTATAAGGAAGGGGCCTGAGGCTGTTAGGAATGGTGGGAGTTGGAGTCCAAACACTTGGAGAGAAGGCCCAAGTTTGCCCAGGCCTGGTCTAGATGCACCTACTGAGTCCTCATTTAAGACAGGTGATTACCAAGAGAAGGGGAAATAACTTTGGGGATCTGTAATGCATTTAGATGTATACATTCCCAGCATTTGGAAAACAAGCCCTGATCCACATTAAACCCATTTGTTTTCTTTCACCACAGCTCAATACAAGCTCCCAATCTGCCTCTGAGTGCAGAACTGCCAAGGCTCAAGGCTATAAGGTCCTGGGAGCTGTAGTTTTCTTTCCCAAACTGCAACTCCCATGATCCCCATAGCCTTGAGCCACGTCCCAAGTGTGCATTCATTCATTCCAGATGCTCCCTGCCTTGCAAGGCTGGGGATGAGGAACATTTTCCATTCGCCTCTTTCTCCTCCTCCTCCTCCTCCACTGACCTCAAGGAGCCGCACAAACAAGGGAAGGGATGTTTTGCCTCCTCGTTGCCTGGCTCCCTTCCCYCTCTCCRCCTCCCTCTTTCCTCCCCTCCCTCCCTCCCTTTGGAAGGACTATTATTAATATCTGCAACGTTTTCCCCTTCTTGTTATGTCAAGACAAAAGCGGGGCATCCTTGCCTTTTTAAGCCAAGGAAGAGAGTCSATGACAGGCCTGGGGMCTGGAGGGGGGACATCTCTGCTCCTCCTCCTCCTCCTCCTCCTCCTCTTTCTGCCCATCTTTTGTTTCACACTGAATCCCTCCGCAAATAATTATAAAAGCCTCCCTACCATCCAAAAGAAGGTTATGCAAGGATCTGGTTATAAATGGAGGGTGGATAATGATATTTGACTCCCTGGAAAGCTTTAACATGCAGGAATTCTTGGGAGGGTTGAAGTCAACACAAGCTTTTTCCCTTCTTTCCAATTTCCACTCATTTAGAAGCCAAGTCCATTTTATTTTTTTCCAGATTCAACATAAACAATGTATTGTCGAAGGCTTTCACAGCCGGAATCATTGGGTCGTTGTGAGTTTTCTGGACTGTATGGCTATATTCCAGGAGCATTCTCTCCTGATGTTTGGCCTGCATCTATGAGAGGTATCCTCAGAGGTTGTGGGGTCTGTTGGAAACTGGGAAAATATAAACCCCATTTTCCTAGTTTCCAACAAACCTCACAACCTCTGAGGATGCCTCACATAGATGCAGGCCAAACGTCAGGAGAGAATGCTTCTTGGACATGGCCACACAGGCCGGAAAACTCACACCAACTCAACACAAACAACCACCATGTTTTCTAACAACCACCATTGTCAGACTACACAGAGAAGCCACGGAAATTCACAAACATGGGGATAATTTCAACAGAAAGGAAGAAACCATGAAAATGAACAAAACCTGGCTACCAGTATTTTAAAAAAGACTAAAATCAGGAAGGTAAATAAAGAGCAACACTCAAAAAACAGTGGAATTCCAAACAAGAAACAATCAGGGCCAGCTAACACCTCCCAACAAAAGATTCCCCCAGGCAGCAATCAGCCAGGCTTTGAAGCTGCAAGGTTATTTAATGCTAATCAAGGTGATTAATTGCAACATTCACACTTGCCTCCAACAGACAAGAATTCTTTCTCACACCCTGGATATTTCACAGATATATAAACCTCAATGTATTGTTGAAGGCTTTTATGGCCAGAATCACTGGGTTGCTGTGAGTTTTCTGGGCTGTACGGCCATGTTCCAGAAGCATTATCTCCTGACGTTATGCCTGCATCTATGGCACCTTGATTAACATTTAATAGCCTTGCAGCTTCAAACCCTGGTTGATTCCTGCCTGGGGAATCCTTTGTTGGGAGGTGTTAGCTGGCCTTGATCCATGCTAATCAAGGTGGCCAATTGAAACATTGACACCTACCCTGTTTTTCTGTGGATGCCTCCCATAGATGCAGGCGAAACGTCAGGAGAGAATGCTTCTGGAACATGGCCATACAGCCCAGAAAACTCACAACAACCTACTATATAAACCTCACTTGCCTTTGTTTCCAACAAGACCCCTCAACCTGTGAGGATGCCTCCCATAGATGTCGGCGAAAGGTCAGGAGAGAATGCTACAGCCTGGAAAACTCACAGCAGCCCAGTGATTCCGGCCATGAAAGCCTTCGACAAGACACTCAACACAAAGGGATTGGTATATTCCACCGCCCAGAGCCTTGCCTTCACCATTTCCCTGCCAACCGGAGAGAGAGAGAGGAAACAAACCACATCAACCTCTTCAGAATCAGACCCAAATGCAAATAATAATCACGTTGGTAATAAAACAATGGGATTTTTTGATAGGAAATCGGTGGCTGATGGCAGCCAGATGCCATTAAAAAAAGACCCTCTAAGTCAGGCTCTGCAAAAGGTCGACCTTGGCATTCAATCCCTTTCTCTGGATCCCACGGAAAGGCTGACAGACGCACACAAAGAAATCAGTGGGGGAATCAATCCAAAAGGGGAGAAAGCCACACTTACCTTGCCTTTAATGTCATCAAATGTTTTGTAAACAACGCCACACTGTACACACAAGAAGAAGAAGAGAGAAAAAAACCCACAAATCTATATATATATATATTTATATTTAAATTAAGCACCAGCTTTAGGCAGAGAGAGTCTGTGAGGTAGTTTTAATTGCAATCAACCGAGATCGAGCATAGAAAATTGCTATTTTGTATATATTATATTTTAAAAAAAACCTTCCTCTGGGAGAGAGAGAAAAAAATATATAGATCTCGATGCTGGGAGGGGGGTGAAGGTGATGCGAATGGTGCCTCTGGTCTTCTCAGAAGATATGCAGGGTCGGCAAGTGCAGGCGCCCGGCCACCCTTCCCTCCCTGGTCCAAACAGCCTTAGAATTCGTATTTTTCCTGTTATTGCTGAATCCCCAGTTGATCTCGGCAGGGAAATTAGAACGTTCAAACAGCTGATGGTGACGTCACAAAGGGGGGACCGCCCGCCGCGGGAGGCGGCCAATGAGAGGCGGCCAACGTCCGAAGGGCGGGGCTTCGGTTGGGCGGTGGGAGGAGCCTTAGGCGCTCCACGTGAGACGAGCCACCCGTGGAAAGGACGCCGCGGAGGTAAGCTGCAAGGCTGGGTCGGGCGGAGTGGGTCAGTGGGACCCGAAGGCTGTGGCGGAGAAGCCAAGGCTAGGGGAGTCCAGAAACACGAGTGGGAAAGGCATCCCAAGCCCACTCCTTACTCTTCCTTGCTCACAAAGGGACTCAGGAGGGGAAATGTTGCCAGATCACCCTGAACATGCGTGGAATCATATAATCACAGAGTTGGAAGAGACCTCGTGGGCCATCCAGTCCAAACCCTGCCAAGAAGCAGGAATATTGCATTCAAGCACCCCTGACAGATGGCCATCCAGCCTCTGTTTAAAAGCCTCCAAAGAAGGAGCCTCCACCACACTCCGGGGCAGAGAGTTCCACTGCTGAACACCTCTCACAGTCAGGAAGAATGATCACCCTGAACACGCGTGGAATCATAGAATCACAGAGTTGGAAGAGACCTCATGGGCCATCCAGTCCAACCCCCTGCCAAGAAGCAGGAATATTGCATTCAAATCACCCCTGACAGATGGCCATCCAGCCTCTGTTTAAAAGCTTCCAAAGAAGGAGCCTCCACCACACTCCGGGGCAGAGAGTTCCACTGCTGAACGGCTCACAGTCAGGAAGTTCTTCGGCAATGAATCATAGAATCACAGAGTTGGAAGAGACCTCATGGGCCATCCAGTCCAACCCCCTGCCAAGAAGTAGGAATATTGCATTCAAAGCATGCCTGACAGATGACCATCCAGCCTCTGTTTAAAAGCCTCCAAAGAAGGAGCCTCCAACACACTCCGGGGCAGACAGTTCCACTGCTGAACACCTCTCACAGTCAGGAAGAATGATCACCCTGAACACGCGTGGAATCATAGAATCACAGAGTTGGAAGAGACCTCATGGGCCATCCAGTCCAACCCCCTGCCAAGAAAGCAGGAATATTGCATTCAAAGCACCCCTGACAGATGGCCATCTAGCCTCTGTTTAAAAATCTCCAAAGAAGGAGCCTCCACCACACTCCGGGGCAGAGAGTTCCACTGCTGAACGGCTCTCACAGTCAGGAAGTTCTTCCTCATGTTCAGATGGAATCTCCTCTCTTGTAGTTTGAAGCCATCGTTCCATGTTCTAGTCTCCAGGGCAGAAAACAAGCTTGTTCGCTCCTCCCTATGACTTTCCCTCACATATTTATACATGGGTATCATGTGTCCTCTCACCCTTAGAATCATAGAGTTGGAAGATACCTCATGGGCCATCCAGTCCAACCCCATTCTGCCAAGAAGCAGGAAAATCGCATTCAAAACACCCCCGACAGATAGCCATCCAGCCTATGCTTTAAAACCTCCAAAGAAGGTGCCTCCACCACACTCTGGGGCAGAGAGTTCCACTGCTGAACGGCTCTCACAGTCAGGAAGTTCTTCCTAATGTTCAGATGGAATCTCCTTTCTTGTAATTTGAAGCCATTGTTGCACGTCCTAGTCTCCAGGGCAGCAGAAAACAAGCTTGCTCCCTCCTCCCTATGACCTCCTCTCACATACTTATTAATGGCCCTCATCATGTCTCCTCTCAGCCTTCTCTTCTGAAGGCTAAACATGCCCAGCTCTTTAAGCCGCTCCTCATAGGGCTTGTTCTCCAGACCCTTGATCATTTTAGTCGCTCTCCTCTGGACACATTCCAGCTTGTCAGCATCTCTTTTCAATTGTGGTGCCCAGAATTGGACACAGTATTCCAGGTGTGGTTTAACCAAGGCAGAATAGAGGGGTTGCATGGCTTCCCTGGATCTGGACACTATACTATTGATGCAGGCCAAAATCCCATTAGCTTTTTATGCCACCGCATCACACTGACTTTTGTAGGCTAAGCCTGATTAGGACTTGGGTAGCAGAACATAAGACCAGGCTGTGGCGCAGCTGGTTAGTAGCCACCTGCATTAAATCACTACTGACTGAGAGGTCATGAGTTTGAAGCCAGCCCGGGTCGGAGTGAGCTTACTTGGGCGATCCCTTGTTGTCCAAGTAAGATTGTCCTCCAAGATCGGTGTCCTGGTGGTGGGTCCGTAGGTGACTGTGGAACCCTACATCTTCTCCCACAATGGGGGCATCAGTTTCCAGGTGGAAGGCGATCCCGGTCGGGGTTGGCTTGATGCACCTTCCTCTTTTCACATTTCCTTCTTTTGCCCTCCATTCATGCCTCTTCAAATTCTACAACACTGCTGGTCACAGCTGACCTCCAGCTGAAATGCTCAAGGGCCAGGGCTTCCCAGTTCTCAATCTTTATGCCCCAGTTTTTAAGGTTGGCTTTAAGCCCATCTTTAAATCTTTTTTCATGTCCTCCAACATTGCGTTTTCTGTTCTTGAGTAGAGTAACTGATCAAACATTTGGACAATGTGGCTGGTCCAGCAGAGTTGATGGCGGAGGACCATTGCTTCAATGCTGGTGCTTTTTGCTCCTTCCAGCACACTGACATTTGTCCGCCTGTCTTCCCAAGAGATTTGCAGGATTTTTTGGAGGCAGCGCTGATGGAATCATTCCAGGAGTTGCATGTGACATCTGTAGATAGTCCACGTTTTGCAGGCGTATAGCAGAGTTGGGAGGACAATAGCCTTATAAACAAGCACCTTGGTCTCCCTTCGGGTGTCCCAGTCCTCAAACACTCTGTGCTTCATTTGGAAAAATGCTGCACTCGTAGAGCTCGTGGTGTTGTATTTCAGTGTCAATGTTGACTTTTGTGGAGAGGTGGCTCCCAAGGTAGCAGAAATGGTCAACATTTTCTAAAGGTGTCCTCCTGGCATTGGAGAGGGATTGGCTGGTGACTGCTGGAATCATAGAATCATAGAATCAAAGAGTTGGAAGGGACCTCATGGGCCATCCAGTCCAACCCCCTGCCAAGAAGCAGGAATATTGCATTCAAATCACCCCTGACAGATGGCCATCCAGCCTCTGTTTAAAAGCTTCCAAAGAAGGAGCCTCCACCACACTCCGGGGCAGAGAGTTCCACTGCTGAACAGCTCTCACAGTCAGGAAGTTCTTCCTCATGTTCAGATGGAATCTCCTTTCTTGTAGTTTGAAGCCATTGTTTCGCGTCCTAGTCTCCAGGGAAGCAGAAAACAAGCTTGCTCCCTCCTCCCTGTGGCTTCCTCTCACATATTTATACATGGCTATCATATCTCCTCTCAGCCTTCTCTTCAGGCTAAACATGCCCAGCTCCTTAAGCCGCTCCTCATAGGGCTTGTTCTCCAGACCCTTGATCATTTTAGTCGCCCTCCTCTGGACACATTCCAGCTTGTCAATATCTTTCTTGAATTGTGGTGCCCAGAATTGGACACAATATTCCAGGTGTGGTCTAACCAAAGCAGAATAGAGGGGTAGCATTACTTCCTAGATCTAGACACTATGCTCCTATTGATGCAGGCCAAAATCCCATTGGCTTTTTTTGCCGCCACATCACATTGTTGGCTCATGTTTAACTTGTTGTCCACGAGGACTCCAAGATCTTTTTCACACGTACTGCTCTCAAGCCAGGCATCCATTTTGTATCTTTGCATTTCGTTTTTCCTGCCAAAGTGGAGTATCTTGCATTTGTCACTGTTGAACTTCATTTTGTTAGTTTTGGCCCATCTTTCTAATCTATCAAGATCGTTTTGAATTCTGCTCCTGTCCTCTGGAGTATTGGCTATCCCTCCCAATTTGGTGTCGTCTGCAAACTTGATGATCCTGCCTTCTAACCCTTCATCTAAGTCATTAATAAAGATGTTGAACAGGACCGGGCCCAGGACGGAACCCTGCGGCACTCCGCTCGTCACTTCTTTCCAGGATGAAGAGGAAGCATTGGTGAGCACCCTCTGGGTTCATCCATTTAACCAATTACTGATCCACCTCACCGTAGTTTTGCCTAGCCCACATTGGACTAGTTTGTTTGCCAGAAGGTCATGGGGGACTTTGTCGAAGGCCTTACTGAAATCCAGGTACGCTACATCCACTGGCATTCCCCGCATCTACCCAACTTGTAATTCTATCGACAAAAGAGATCAAATTAGTCTGGCATGACTTGTTTCTGATAAATCCATGTTGACTATTAGCGATGACCACATTTGTTTCTAAGTGTTTGCAGACCACTTCCTTAACAATCTTTTCCAGAATCTTGCCTGGTATCGACGTGAGGCTGACCGGACGGTAGTTGTTTGGGTCATCCTTTTTTTCCTTCTTGAAGATTGGGCCACATTGGCCCTCCTCCAATCTGCTGGAACTTCTCCCGTTCTCCAAGAACTCTCAAAGATGGTTGCCAATGGTTCCGAAATGACTTCCGCTAGTTCCTTCAATACTCTTGGGTGTAGTTGATCTGGCCCTGGGGACTTGAACTCATTTAGAGCGGCCAGGTATTCCTGTACGACTTGTTTCCCAATTTGGGGTTGGATGTCCTCAAATCCCTCATCCACTCCGTCTTGCTGAGGTTGAAGATGACTTCCTTTTTGTGAGAAGACCGAGGCAAAGAAGGTATTAAGTAGTTCTGCCTTTTCCCTATCCCCTGTCAGCATTGCCCCATCTTCTCCTCGAAGAGGCCCTATCGCCTCCTTGTTTTTCCTTTTTCTACTGACATAAGAAAAGAAGTCCTTTTTATTGTTTTTAATGTCCCTGGCAAGCTTGAGCTCGTTTTGTGCTTTAGCCTTGCGGACCTTTTCCCTACAGGTGTTGGCTATTTGTTTGAATTCTTCTTTGGTGATTTCTCCCTTTTTCCACTTCTTGTGCATGTCTCTTTTGTGTCTTAGCACAGTTAGAAATTCTTTGGACATCCATTCTGGCTTCTTTGCACTTGTCCTATTTTTTCTCTTTGTAGGCACAATGTTCAGTGACAGGCCGAGCTTCTTGTATGCTTCTGCGAAGATGTTTAGAGTGGCTTGTAGGTCTTTTTCTGAATGTGCACAGACAACATTGTCATCAGCATACTGGAGTTCTATAATAGATGTTGCTGTAACCTTGGTTTTGTCTTTCAGTCTGCTGAGGTTAAATAGGTTGCCATCTGTCTGATAGATGATTTC